TGTTTGCCATCGTCGTGCTGTTAGCCATCGTCGTGCTGTTTGCCATCGTCGTGCTGTTTGCCATCGTCGTGCTGTTAGCCATCGTCGTGCTTTTTGCCATCGTCGTGCTGTTAGCCATCGTCGTGCTGTTTGCCATCGTCGTGCTGTTTGCCATCGTCGTGCTGTTAGCCATCGTCGTGCTTTTTGCCATCGTCGTGCTGTTTGCCATCGTCGTGCTGTTAGCCATCGTCGTGCTGTTTGCCATCGTCGTGCTTTTTGCCATCGTCATGCTGTTAGCCATCGTCGTGCTGTTTGCCATCGTCGTGCTGTTTGCCATCGTCGTGCTGTTTGCCATCGTCGTGCTGTTAGCCATCGTCGTGCTGTTTGCCATCGTCGTGCTGTTTGCCATCGTCGTGCTGTTAGCCATCGTCGTGCTGTTAGCCATCGTCGTGCTGTTTGCCATCGTCGTGCTGTTTGCCATCGTCGTGCTGTTAGCCATCGTCGTGCTGTTAGCCATCGTCGTGCTGTTTGCCATCGTCGTGCTTTTTGCCATCGTCGTGCTGTTAGCCATCGTCGTGCTGTTTGCCATCGTCGTGCTGTTTGCCATCGTCGTGCTGTTTGCCATCGTCGTGCTGTTAGCCATCGTCGTGCTGTTTGCCATCGTCGTGCTGTTTGCCATCGTCGTGCTGTTTGCCATCGTCGTGCTGTTTGCCATCGTCGTGCTGTTTGCCATCGTCGTGCTGTTAGCCATCGTCGTGCTGTTTGCCATCGTCGTGCTGTTTGCCATCGTCGTGCTGTTTGCCATCGTCGTGCTGTTTGCCGTACCCTTTGGTCTAAAATACATTTCACCTTCAAATCTGTGAAGAGCTTTTATTCATTTCAGTCTTAAGCTCTTATTTTGTTTACTCTTAACTTCTAATTGGAAAAGAACACGTTCATCTTCTTCATCATTACTTTTGGGGTCAAAGTCTTCCCCGTGGTATCGAGTCACGCCGTCACCTCAAAGCTGACCCAGCTGCTCAGCCTGTTTTTAGCGAGCAGCGCAAATCTCTGCAGGCTGGAAAAAAGAAGCTCCATCCCAGAGCGCGGTGCAGGCCTCTCAGGCTCCACAGCTGCTAAGCTAATTAGCCTCGGTCTCAATCTAATCTGCAGGAGGCTGCAAGCTGCTGCTGATCCCTCTCAGCCAGAGCTAATGGACAACAATTAGCACCACTGATTTTCTGCACAATGGAGCACGGAGGGGGGGCTGTTAATAGCTCTGATGTGAACACAGGGTGGGGGGAGTGTGTGTGTGGGCAGTGATGAGGCTCATAGTCCACACAAGTCGAGCACGACCAATCACAGCAGCAGCGCTGCCTTTATGGAGATCCTGTGTGTGTGTGTGTGTGTGGGGGGGGGTGGCTTCAGGCGACGGCAAGAAGAACAAACATCATTAAACAAATGAAAACAGGACGCTTGTCTTTCCAAACACGCCAGGATTACGCCTGCTGTTCATGCTTCAACCTTAAAGGCTGTCACTGCTTTTATAAGTAAATATGTTTATGCTGTAGGTGCGTGATAGGTTTGTAGCTTGAACCTATTCGCTGGAATGTTGAAGACAATATAATTACACCGCAAGCAAGACACGAAGTAGGCAAGCTTCTTCATGTTTCTCGTGCACGGGAGAGAACCGGACAGACGCCGTTCCTTCGCTTGACCCCAGTTGCTCTCGTCTGTTCCCCCGTAACACTGCTCTTTTATTGAGGTTACATGAATATGCATAGGGTCATTAACATATGATGTCTACATACACACAAAGAGTACCGTGTGTGTGTGTGTTACTGCTGATCAAAGGGTCCTATAACATGAAAGCACAAAAGCAAACATCCTTGGTCAGGAAGAGGGTAGTCTCACCCTAGATAACACGGTGAGGAAGTCCAGCAGTTAAAGCACTTAGACTAGAACAGACGTAGCTACGTTAATTCTACCATAAAACAATAAGACAAGGTACGACCTCTCTCGTGCTCCCAGAGTGCTCTCTAATGCACACAAAGTTTGCAGACCATCAAGGATCAAACCTCTACCAATCTGCAACTAATATAAAACTCTAAGCATATATAAGTAGATATTTCTAAGCATAAATGGCAATCAACAATACAAAACCTAACAGTGCGGACCCTGCAGACAAACCCCAACAATCAGATGACATGTGAGCACACGCTTGGTGACAGTGGAAAGGAAAAACTCTTATCAGGAAGAAGCCTCCGGCAGAACCAGGCCCCCAACAGGGAGCCAATGAGGAGAAGCCAGCATGGTGGAAGTCCGAGCTCTCGCTGCAAACATCTTCAGATGTCTCCCATGTAACAAAACATGTCACAGCACGCTGCACCTCTGTTCTGGGCCCGGGGCCACATGTTTGACACATCTGTGCTGGGGCGAGGACCCTGCATTAATGGACGGAAGCATCGATGGGATGTGGCGTGTCAGCTGCTCGAGCGCACACAGCCACCATTAGAATGCGGACGCTGTGATGGGAGCAGCGAGGTGAAGGACAGGCCTTCATGGGCTCAGGGCCGAGTGAAGCAGAGGCTCAGCAGCTGAAGCCTTCTTTGCTTTAACGAGTCAGCGACTGGCACTCTTCCAGCTCCACTCAGAGCATCGCTAAAAACGGGACAGTTTCTAATGCGTCTCTGTGTTTAACGGCTGTAAGCTCAGCTGTTTCTTCCTGCTCTGACGTCCAAAAGCACCACAACCTTTTACTCTTTCTGGAGGCGCAGCCGGTGGACGAATGCCAGTCTGATACCAACGCTTGTATCAGCATCAGATCAATATTTGATTCTGTCCTCTGAACAGTGTTAAATCATTCTTAATGAACAAACATCCATCAAACACGCTGAGAAACATGTGTGAACCTTTCTGTGGTTTATTTACAACCTGCAGGCACGTTTACGTCCAGCTCTTCAAAATAAAAGCTGAGAGGTGTGTTTTATTGTGGAAAGTAAAAGTCAGTGATGGTTCATGTCATAAATCAGGACACACTGCTCACACACCTGTGACGGCATCGATGCTCCTCACAGATGGAGCAGGAGGAGGCGACATTAACCAGCTGATGAACCTCCAGCTGTGTGACCACAGGACAGCGACGCCTGACCCGGCGTCCTGAGTCAGGACCGGACCGATCCAAATATCGGATCGATGTCTCCTTAATGAGAGCTCCTCTGCACCGCACTTCCTTTCAGACTCGCTCTTATTACATTTCATTCAAAGTGACAGGGGAGGGGCCTGTCCAGGCTTTAAACAGGCTGAGGACATCCCCCGTTTCCCTCCACCTCGCCAGGCAGGAGCCGGCCCCGCCCCCTGCAGACAACGCTAATGCCTTTATTCGTTTCTCAGAGTCCATTAACGGGCACTAAGCCTTCCTGCGGTCTCCATCACTGCAAGCTCCCAACACTCTGCAAACCTCATCCATCTCCAACCACTTATCAAAGTTACAGTCACGACTCCACCTGGAGACGCTCCGTCCGAGGAAGCTTACAGGAAGCGGGGTTCACGCCGACCTCGTCTCTGCTTTACCTTGACCTAAAAACACAGATGCAGACGCGTCTGCAGTACTGCGCCCTGAGCAGCGCCTGCAGGTGCAGCGCGCCTGTCAGAGCGCTGAGCAGCAAATAACAGACACAAATAACTCAGCGCGCTGCGGCGGCGCCGAGAGGAAGATGATAATTCCTGTTAAAAACACGGCGTTACCTTTGATGTGAAAACAACACAAAGTGAAGTGTTACATAAAGATGGGGGAGGTGACAGAAGGAGGGCGGCGTGCAAATGAAGAGGGAAGACAGGAAGTAAGTTCACGGCTGATTCGAGCTCAGCGAGCGTCTGAGCGGCACTTCAAACGAGTGTGACCTGGAGTCATTCATCAGGCCTCAAAAACGCCAAAACTTCACAGATCACACCTCTGACTCCCACAGCTTCACGCCAGGCAAACAGGAAGTCCCGCCTTTCAGCGTCGGCTCGTCTTAGACTGCACGTTCAGCGGTGAGCTTCCTGCTTGCAACCCGCCGCCGTCACTTTGACCTGCAGTTCATCAGGAAAACGCTGACACATCAGAACAGCCCCGATAACGGCGCCACAGACTCCCTGCCAGCACCTGCCAATCAAAACCAAGCACACCCAGTGATTGGACACTGTGCTGAGAGGCGGGGCCAGGTGCTCAGAGTGAGGAGGGTTTCCTGGATTCACACTAAGCTTCTTATTTCAGCCGCGGCGTCACGGAGGCGTGCTGAGCGTTGGAGGTCATTTGGACGTGTCCCCCTGCACACCTGAGCGTCACGCTTACAGGCTGCCTCGCTCGCCCCACCGTGAACTGTAAACAACTCATTTTTGTGACGCCCCAGGTGGGCGGGGTTGAACAAACAGCTGCGCGGTCATGCTCGGGTGGAGCTTCCTGGGCAGCAGAGCAGACGTCTCACGGCAGGTAAGCTCGACTCCATCCGTCCTCCATAAACAGCAGAGTGACGACAACCTCGCGTTATGAGTTTGTTCCAAACTGAGCTCGGAGAAGCAGTTTACCTGCTCAAACACCTGAGGAGACCGACACACCTGAGCCTTCATGAGTTAAACCTGAGCTTTAGCTTCAGTGGGAGGAGCTCTGCTTACTGAAGTAATATGATGAAAACCACGTGGACGTCACACCTGCATCACCAGCGCCGCCTGGTTTCTCTGATGACATCAGCAGTCAGTCAGGAGATGATTGGGGACATTTACCGATCACTATTATCGATCACTGACTGTGACCCCGAGCCACGTATGGATTAGTCAGCAGCTCAGAGGTCAGAGGTCAGGAGGCCTGAGCATCATGTGACTGCTATCAAGCTCACATTAGAACACAGTGTTTCACACACAGGATCCAACACCAAGCAGTTACTCACATACAGGGCTCTTAATTTGAAAAGTCAGTGGTGCACACACACGCAGAAGCAGCCGTGGCCCGAGCCCCCGGCTGACCCTAACCAGCAGAGCCAGAACCAGAGAGGAGGTCTTACCCCTGCCGGTCTCCGTCCACCAGGATCCGAACCAGGATGCCGGTAACAGCCACCAGGATGGGGTAGTGGTCCACGCTCTCCAGCCCTGCAGGAGGAACAGAGTTCATCAGAGTGGCACGACTGCGAATCCGACCAGATGATGGACGCTGAGGGGGCGTGTCTCTCATTGTTATTCCCATAACCCTAATATCAGTGATCCTGGCCTGTGATGTGTTGAGCTCCCTCCTTTCACAGAGCGTGACATCACGTGTTCTCACTAACACGCTCCATGTTTTTAGTTGTTGCCATCTGTCATTCACACTCTTTAAACCTTTAAACCTCGTGCTCCTCGCACGTCCTGGTCGGACGGAGTTCAGGCGGAGCTCTGGATCACACCTGCGTGCATGAAAGCAGCACGCAGGTGTGATCAGGCCTGCAGGTGTTTGATGGATCAGGTCACTGTCATCATATTTCAGAGCGTCTAAAGCAGAGACGGGCTGCTGATCAGTATTACTTGGATCCTGCCATCAGAGCCGGCCCACACACCTGATTGGAGGCCTCGGCGAGGCGCGCGCACACCTGCAATTAAATTATCCCAGAAATAACCTGGAAAGGTGTCATTATCATTATCAGGTGGTAATAAGAAGGCTGCTTCCAGTCGGCTCCAACTATAAATCATCAGCGCTGCGACAGACGGGTGACCTGTGCAGGTGTACCCTGCGTCCCACCCCCACAACACACACACACAGTTAAAGGAGGCGATGACCTCCCTATAAACACGGTGGCTGTGTGGGCGGAGCGAGTGAGGATGTTGCTGAGGTCCAATCAGCTCACAGCAGTGATGATAACAGGAGTGAAATAATCAGCTGGGCTAAAGCAGAGTTAAACGTTTATTTTTGAAAAGGTGAGGTTACAGCACGCCGCTCCTGTTATGGCACAGCGACGTTTCCATCAGGAGGAGCGTGAGGGCCTCCCGCTGAGCGCCATCAATGAATCACACGAACTCACAGCGAGCCAACAGCTGGAAGAACCAATTAAATAGGCAGGAAACCACACGTGGTTATTGTCCTCCTGCTGATGGACGCTGACGCTTCTGCTGAAGGTAAAAACCTATTTCTGTCAGGAAGCAGGATGTAGACGCAATCATGCATGGATGGACTTTCAAAACGGTTTATTTTCTTCCTTGTTGGTGGCAACGTTTGACATTTTTAAAGATCAGTGGAAACTTCAGCATAAAATAATTCTTTATGGTCATTTTGGGCATGTCTGACCCCCTCTGATGACCGACTACACTCAGGCTAGCATCAGGCTTTATAAGATAGGGCTTTGGAGTTGACGTCACGCCGCAATGCATTATGGGAGCGCAGCGCCATTTTCGGGGTCTACGAATCAAACCAAACACACTGTGTTGGAACGACGACTACAAGAAAGATGCTTAAAAGCAGCTCAAAAGAGAATGAACTGTATAGAGACAGATTTCATCCAGAGGCGAAGCAGCGGTACTTGCAGAAAATAGCGTGCATTGGAAATGTGGACCCGTATGAAACACGGCCGTGGAGTAGAAACCCTGAAGACCAACCGCTACTGACGTAGCCTGACATATTTTCGGACCTTATCTGTGGAGTCAGCGCGTACAAGTCGTCATTCAAGCAAAGGTAAGTCAGCTCGAGTACTGCGAGTGAAATGCGTTTGATTTCCTTGCAAACATTCAGATTAGTGCAGCATAAATTCATTCATGAGGGGAAATTACAGTGAGAACATGTGGAGGCTGTTGGGTGGATAACATAGTGAGTTCAGTGCATTGATGTGACATCCTTGCATTACATCCTTTAGGTTCATTTTCTGCAGGCAGGTTTCTGACAGAGAACAGGCAGATTTACACTATAACCTGCAGCGTTCTATAGATGGACACATAAAGAAATGAAAAATTACATGTATGTGCTAACTTTCTAAACACTTTGTTACATTTATGATAAAGTAGATTAAACACATTTACGTCGGCCTTGGCTCATAGTTCTTAACTTTAAATGAACTTTGTCTGTGTGTGTTTCAGGTCCTGCACTCTCAAAGACTGAATGAACAGCATTGCAGCCATGGGTCACTGTGAGCATCACAGGGAAGGTTGAAGCTGCCCACTGCACCTGTATGGCCGGAGTCATGGAGACCTGCAGCCATGTCGCTGCTCTTCTGTTTAATGTAGAAGCAACAGTGTTGATCGTGGCACAAGGACTGTTACAGATGAACCTGCATACTGGGTTTTGCTGGGCAATGTGACCAAGATACAGCCAGAGGTTGGCCATAAGATAGACTTCTCCTCTTCAGCTGCCCAAAAAAAGGCTCTTGATCAAAACATTCACAGACCATCTGTAGTGACAGGTAAAAGGAGCCGTCCTCAAAACAGAAAAATCCCACCTGCTACTGTGGAGGAGTTGTCACTGCTATTGGATACTTTGCTGGAACACAGTAAAGCTGTGGGTTGTGGGAATGACCCATAATGTTTTATCTAGGGGTCTAGATTTAT